TATAATAAATGTCATATATGACTGTAGTTAATAGCTATCGTATAATTAATGTTATTTCATATATGTGTTAATTAATAGCTGCTATATAATTAATATTATTTCTCATTATTATGTAAATCAAATAAGAATATAATTGATATTTGCGGAAATAAATCGTAAATATCATTTAAATTTCTAATTTTTGCAACGCGACTTTTATCTTTCTTTTTTGTTTACTAATTTAAAAGTTAGAGTGACATGTCAAATAATTGTCTTCTTCCACTGTCTTTTCAATCATTTATTTTTTTTTTTTGATGAGAAACAGTTTAAATGAGAAAATTTTATTTTCACTTCACGATATGCTTGCTTCTTAATTGATCATTATTAACAATGTATTGGTAAAATGCTATTAAAACTCATTAATTTAATTTAAATTTTGCAGCTGCAATATTAAATGATAAAGATTATAATGAAAAAAATGAAAAACATGTAAACCTTTACGTGTGGCAGTAGTAATTCGACCGATTAATTTTGTATGTCGGACATCTTCATCTGTGATAATTGGTGCTATAGCTTCTTCATGATCATGTTCCGTATCACCGGATCCTTCAGTTTGACCACCCGAACCTTCACCGCCTAAATCCTCATCATCAGACCATTCCAGCATATTTCCTGATCCTTCTATATTATCCATCATTTCCTATAATCATTCCTTACCTTCATTAATTATCATTCCCAGTGCAGGATGATAATAAAAATATAGCGTCATAAATGATCTGCATTATAGTAAGTAGTATGGAAAAGTTTCATGTGAAAATTTGAAATAATTTATGAACATATATATATTTTCTTAATTCTTAATTATTATTTAACTAACTTTCTCTTAATTATTATCGTCATTTAATTATTATTTAATATTCTCTTAATTATTATTTAACTGATCGGTATTAAATTTAATTCCTCAACATATCCAAATATTATCATTTCCATTTTCTTCAATTAAAAATTCAATTTCTCTCTGATTATTTACATGTACATACATTTGTAGAAACTGATAGATCTTCCCGTAAATTCCTTCTCCCTTTCTTTGCCTTTCTCTCTCTCTCTCTCTCTCTCTCTCTCTCTCTCATTATCATTCCAAAAATCGAATCCAGAAATTATATCCCTTATTATTTTTTCCCAATCTATATATTATTTTTCAATTTCATATGATACTGTATCACGGTTTTTTTTTTTTTTTTTAAAATATAAGCCGATATATTTGATCCATTTATCTATCATTTGCATATATCGTTTTGTTTGTTTCTCCATGTATTTTCCTATTTTTCTTTTTCAGACAAAAAAATGTGAAATGGCTACAAATATGTGTAATGCAAATTGAGGGTAAATGTTGGAGAAAAAAAGAAAGAAGAAAGGTTATATAGAAAAGATAAGTGATATTATGGGAATCAAATAATGGCATATACCGCGGAGAATTGACGAAAGCGGGACGGCATATGAATCATTCAATTGTGGAATGTTATTAAGCTAAAAGCCGAGAAAGTTTTTTTTTTTTTTGTTCGTCTCGTTTACGATGCTTTCAAGTGTGTACAAAAAGTGCTAATACTACAAATGTAATTTCGATTATCTTGTTTGATACCTTTAAAAAAATGAAAAAAGAAAAAGAGGAAAAAATATTTTCTCTTTACAAATTCTTTTTCTTTCACTCTTCTTCTCCGTCTTTCTCTTTCTGTCCTTCTCCTTCTCTCTCTCTCTCTCTCTCTCTCATTGCTCAGATTTTTTTGATTTCAAAAAAAATAAGACTTAAAAAATTCTCCTCAAACTTCAAAAATATAATTTAATAAGTTTAATTTAATATGTTACACGTATCTAAATTAATATATATTGATTTTAAAGCATTAGTTTTAATTTGATAAAACTTACTGAAATAAAAGTTATGAAATTTAAAATTCAAAATTTTTGAAATGATTGTTGTCTTTGCATCTTCAATTTTTATCAATTTTAGAAATTGCTTACTGACAAATAATTTATTCAAAAAAGATGCCATAAAAGTTTTTCTAAAGTTAATGTATAGCTAAGTTTCTAGCCTTATTTTCACTTGATGTTTAAATTAGCATTTTATTCTTATTGTAGTACCTATGATTTATAAAAATTAATTTTTGATCGATTCATTTTCATTAGCAATATTTTATTTGATCAGGCTATTTTACATTTTATCATGAAATAGCTATACATTAACTTGTTATTATTTTGTCAGTAAAGATCATAAATTATTGTTAACCTTTCGTGATTACACTTCATTATTTTGCATTAATACATTAAAAAATATTAATTGTAATTCGGCAAAATTTGCACGTAAATTATACAATAGCATTGTCCTTGACCTTTTAATTACATATAACCTTTGAAATCATAGCATCTACTCATTTTTACCTCTTCCTTTCCAGTTAATAATACTTTTGAATGATATTAGTTTCTATTCTTCCTTCTTTTCTTAATCGTAAGATTTATCAGTTAAATTAATTGGATTTCTGGTAAAATTGAATATAAATATTTTTAGTTTGCATATTCTCATATTTCGATATAGGAATGTATTTAGATGTATATCGAGATTTTAATGTATTTACTATCACCAGCAAATATTAACAGTTATCGCAATAATCATCGCTAATATAATCTTCAGTGAAATAAATTCTTTTTTCAAAAGATCATACAGATATCGTTATCATCTAAATGAATTAGATAAGAGAGGAAGAATAATTTTTGCACGTTTTTATTGAAATAACATTTGATACTGTGCTACTTGTGTATAAACTCATAACAAAATTTTAATTTTAAGAAAAATTTGAACCAATCTAATTTTTTAAAGAAATTTTGATTTGGTTTATGATAACTAGCTCAGTTATTAGCTAAGTTTCGTCGAACTTAGATTTACAGCTATTAGCACCGCAATATTAAATAAGAATTTGGTATGACACTTAATGTATCATTCTTATTATTTTCTGCTCTCAAAGAAACTTCTAAAAGCAGGATTACTCAGTAGGTAAGCAATCTACAAAACCAAAAATCCAAATCCAAAATTTTCAAAATTTGAAATTATATTATATCCTGAGTTATAAAAAGAAGAAAAAGATTTAATAAAGTAAAATTAAACAAAAATGATTGAGAAAGTAGGAAGTTAAATAGGTGGTAATAAATAAATAAATAAACAAATTCGTTTTATTCATTTATCTATTTTTTAAAATTAGTTAAAATAGTCAATTTAAGCAATTTGAGGCTTCATTTTTTGCTTCAATCCTGAAAAATAATAAGCATAGATAATCCAAAGTATAATTTAAGAAGAAAATGCCAAATAAAAATTTGAAAGAATTATAGCAACCCGGAAAATAGGACAATTCAGAACTATCCTTCATTCGATGATAAATGGCATATTCAAAATAACGTCGCTATCGTATTTTAAAGTATCGGGAATCGCTTTTTTTCCGTTCCGTTTCACTTTTCCTGCTTTTTATTTTATTTTTAATTTTTTTGGTGGTTAGCGAATTTAATTAACTACAAGCCAAAGTACTTTCAAATTCTTTGCCTGCAAAAAAAAGGGAATTACCAATAGAAGTAAATCACATTTCTTTAAAACGTCACATTTTTGATTGAAATAAACGAACGAACAAAAAATTCTTGTAATTTAGTCGGGAAAAAAAAAGAAATTATAATTAAATTAAACAACGATAAATGTTAAATATTGCTAGTTTTTCTAAAAATTAAAACCAGTTGAAATGAACTGCCAATAAAAAATCATTTAAACATTTTTCAACAGTTTAAAGAATGTCTGAAAAATTGTACAGATTATTTTAAAAACAAAATTATATGTGAAATTTTCTATTTCTTCTTCTGTTGATATTATTTGCTTCTCTTTCTCTCTCTCTTTCTCTCTCTCTCTCTCTCTCTCTCTCTCTTTCTCTCTCTCTCTCTCTCTCTCTCTCTCTTGTAAAATTTTAATCTATAATTATACAATCAATGACGAAATAAAAATATTAAATATGACTGAGATTTTTTTGGCATCATTTCATCATTGCATGTTCAAATCTAATTATTGCAACCTATTTAAAATATGATAATAGAATGAATCATATCTTATTCGATATCATATAATAGAAGATAAGATATTTGCTCAAAAATTTGAAGTGATGAAAATATTAACATGAAATTTCTGCATATTTATATATTTTCTCCTAAATAAATACTTAAAGAATAATTGAATTCAAGAATTAAAGTATAAAAATTACAAAAATCAAAGCAGTCCGGAAATTAAATATCATCTTATTAAATGTGATAAAAAAATTCTTTTCTCAGATCAGATTAGTTCATTTTATCCTTCCTCTTTTTTGCTATCAAATTTTTGTTCGGTAAACAAAAAGATTCAAAATAAAATCAGTCGATCAAGTCCATCAATTTATCTATCCTCACACATAAAGTTACTTATTTATCTTGTACGTGAAGATCATATAAAGTATACACGTAAAGTTACGTAAAGATGTATTGTACATACATAAAATTATTTGATTTCCAGTTAATATAAAATAACAATTATATATATGCATTATTACCAATTACCATATAAGTTATTTGCTAATTATATCATTTCAATTTTTCTTTTTTTTTTTTGTTTGTGCAATTGATAGTATGCAATGAATGAATGAATGAATGTAAATCTGAAAAAATTTTTGTTTCGTCAAGAAAAATTTAATTTTCTTTCTTGTTCATTCTCATATCTAACATTTTGAATAAATAATGAATTAAACTGCAAAAAAAAAGAATGAAGAGAGGAAAAAAAGAAGAAAGAAAAAGAATGAAAAAAAAAAAGATATACACATATATTATTTGAAGAAATCCCAATATTGTTTATCACCTTTTATCCTCTTCATTGGAATTTCCCTGTTTTTCAATTTCTTCTCTTTTTTTTCGTAAAAATTTTTAAAATCAACAAAAAAGATGTGTGACATCATTTTTGTTGTCTCTAAAATAAATGACATAACGAAAAAGACGATAGCAATCGCCAGACAATTGAAATGGAACTGAAAAAATTCCATTGATTATCGCCGTTTTGATTCGCTCAATGCTTTAATAATGTTCTAAAGAATAAAGGAAAAGAAAAATCATACAATTTAAAAATTTATTACGACATTGCAGATTATTCGTTAGCAATAAATTTAAACAATCCACACCTTGTACTTCTCTCTCTTTCTCTCTCTCTCTCTCTCTCTCTCTTCTAATTCACCTCAATTAAAATACTATCAGCAGTTTTATAATGTTGATTTTGAGAAGATTAAAATAAAAAAAAATTTCATACTGAATTTAAAAAAAAAATAAGGAAGGAAAAAATGTATGAAGCTGATAAAGTTTATGAAAATTTCAAATTAGTTGTTTAATTAAACAAATAAAAATTAAAGGAACGGACTGATTATTTATTGGACAATTATACCTTATGAAAGTT